TTTTAGTTTATTTTCCTAAAGAAAAAGACGAGTAGTATAGCTTTATTATCGACAATTATTACTCTCTTTGTTACCCCCATAATGTTTATTTTTTCTCTTGATGAAACCTCCATTCAATATTAATTATACTCTCTGTTTCTCCTTTTTATTATTGGATCAGAATTACTTCATGAATTACTTTTTTCCTATAGATAGAGAGTTGATTTCTCAAATGGTCCGCTCAAAAGGCATAGTTAAGTGATTTTATGAGATAATAACTATTAGTTAAGTGACTATATGAAAATGCTATATATATATATATGCTCCATTTGTTAGAAGAAATGGTACATAAGATGTATAATCTTTCACAAGCATTTAACATAGCAAACACTAGATGAATTAAAATGTTTCTCTTAATCAATCTAATTCCAAGAGTTGATGAACTTGCAGGAATTTTTCTACAAAAGTGGTTCAAAATGAAGTGGAAATTAGGTACTGTTTCACCGAAAATGGTTCAAAATGAAATTAAAGAAATGTTAGATCACCTAAGATGGATCAAGAGTAGAGGTAATCTGAGTAGGAACAAGATTAAGAGAATTGAGAAACTTGAAGTGGTGCTAAGAGTTTTTAGAACCTTTATAGAGTATCATCATGTTGATCTTTTGCATGTTTCCTTGGTGGAACTCACAAAGAAGGCCAAATCGACAGTGGAAATGCTTCAACGGGTATTGGATGGGATTCCAGATGAATGCAAAACTAACCTTAATCTGGGAAGGTTAGAATCACATTTGTTGAAATTTTTTCAAGGTAATACCAGTTTAAGTGACAATAACAAGTTGAATGATTTTGATCTGTCGAAATATATGGATTGTCTTGGAAAAAATCTAAATGATGTACTGGTGATGGTACTGGAAGGGGTTAGGTTTTCCCCTCCTGAAGAAAACCTTGAAATACACAAATTTATAAAGCAACTAGAAATTGTTCAAAAGAAACTTAAATTTTTGATATACTTATATGCCACAGAGATAAAGGGTTACGTCAACCATGAGAAGCTAGAATGTTTGGAGACTCGAATGCATTTCATGGCTAACAATGTGGGACAACTTTGTCTTGCTATTTCAGGTTGCGTTGTTTCTAATTTTGTAGATGATATCTTGAATAAACCTCCTTATTTATTATTCTTGATTGTGTTAGTAGAGCTGGAAATGAAGAAGATTTTTCGCTCCGATCTAAAGGCTTCAAAGTTTACTCATTCAAGAACTTTCAAGGACAGGAAATTACCAAAAGGATTTTCTCATCATCTCCATAGTCTGTTGATGTATCTCAGAAACAAAACGGTCGAGAACTTTCCTAATTATAGCACTGCTCAAAATATTTGTGTAGCAATAATAGAGTTCTTGGTTGTTTTCCTTGAAGCTGATGTGTCAAATCATGTTATTAATGGTAACTGGTTGAATGAGGCTATGGAAAAGGTTGGAGCTATAGCGGGTGATGTTCTATATGCAATTCAAAAGGTTCTTCCTAGATCTATAAACAAAGATGACACCAGCAAAATGAGTCTTTTCTCCATACATGTATTAAAGAAAACTAAAGATCTGAAGACACAAGTGGAGACGTACTATAAATCCTTAAAATTCACTCCATCTCAGTTCCCCACTGTTGGTGGATGGAGCTTTCTGGATTCTCTTATACAGAAACTGAATGAGATGTCAGAATCTAAATCTGGTTTAGATTTCCTGATGAAACCTCTTTTGGGGAATTTGGAGAAAGAGCTATCAGCTCTAACATCCATTTTAGAGAAGGATCTGTCATCTTTATCATCCATTTTCAGAAATTTCGCCAAGGTACACCATGGGAATGAAATTCTTCAAGATCTTCACAGGCGTACTATCAAATTGGCATATGAAGCTGAAGTTGCCATTGACTCTATTCTTGCTCAGTATAATGTTTTTTGGCATATTTTTTGCTCACTTCCTACAATCTTAAAAGAGATCAAGCAAATTAATGTGCAGGTGACTGAGATGTGTTCAACAGACGTTGCTCTTAAGCCTTGCTATGTGGTAGCACAATATAAACACCTGCCAACTCGACATAGCAATCCCATGACTGATGAGGAGATAGTGGGTTTTGGGAATGATACAGAAAAAATGATTCAGTATCTGATAAGAGGTACAAATGAGCTAGACGTCATCCCAATTGTAGGCATGGGGGGACAAGGCAAAACGACAATTGCTAGAAAGCTGTACAATAGTTACAACATTGTTTCTCATTTTGATGTTCGAGCATGGTGCATCATTTCCCAAACATATAACCGGAGAGATCTATTACAAGATATTTGTAGTCAAGTTACCGGCTCCAAGGACAAGGGGGATAAGGATGACATCCTTGCTGATGAGTTGAGGAAAATCTTAATGGGCAAGAGATATCTCATTGTATTGGATGATATGTGGGATTGTATGGCATGGGATGACTTAAGTCTTTGTTTTCCAGATGTTAGAAATAGAAGCAGAATAGTAGTAACAACTCGACTTAAGAAAGTGAGTGAGCAAGTCAAGTACCATACTGATCCTTATTCTCTTCCATTCCTCACAAAAGAAGAGAGTTGCAAATTGTTGCAGAAAAAGTGTTTCAAAAGGAAGATTGCCCGCCTGAACTACAAGATGTGAGTCAAGCAATTGCACAAAAATGCAAAGGACTGCCTCTAGTGGTTGTCTTGGTAGCTGGAATAATCAAAAAAAGGAAAATGGAAGAATCTTGGTGGAATGAGGTGAAAGATGCTTTATTTGACTATCTTGATCATGAGTCGGAAGAATATAGTCGGGTGACTATGCAGTTGAGTTTTGATAACTTACCCGATTGTTTAAAGCCTTGCCTTCTTTATATGGGGATGTTTTTGGACGACGCAAGAATTCCAGCATCTAAATTGATAAGTTTATGGATTGCTGAAGGATTCGTGGAGAACACTGAATCTGCTGAAGAGTACTTGATGGATCTCATTAGCAGTAACGTGGTTATGGTTTCGAAGAAAGAATATAACGGTAAGATCAAATATTGTCAGGTTCATGATGTAGTGCTTCACTTTTGCTTGGAGAAGAGTAGAGAAGAAAAGTTTATGCTGGCTGTGAAGGGAAATCGTAGCCAATTTCAACCTTGTGATTGGAAGGAACTTCGAGTGAGCTTCAACCAAACACGGAATCCAAAACACAGAAACCTTGTGATTGGAAGGATAGTCCCAGAGCATTTCAACTTTGCATCTCTGAGATCCAAAACATGGAAACCTTGTGATTGGAAGGAATGCCGAGTGAGCTTCAACCAAACACCGAATCCAAAACACGGAAACCTTGTGATTGGAAGGAAAGTCAAGGAGCATTCCAAGTTTGCATCTCTGGGATCCAAAACACGGAAACCTTTCCATCAACAGTTGAGGTCACTGATAACGAACGGAGAATATTTTGATGGGATTCCCCTCTGTCAGATTCATAAATTGGGACTTCTTAAGGTCTTGGATTTGAGTTCCCATAGAGTGAATTCTTTGTCATTAGCTAGTTTCAAACCACTAAATCACCTGAAGTACCTTGCAGTTTCGGCATATAGATTCTATTTTCATCCAGAATCACATCTGCCCCATCTTGAAACTTTAATCGTGAAGCGTAGTGCTACGGTACTATTACCAGCATCTTTTTGGGAAATGGAAAAATTAAGGTATGTTGAGATCGGATATGCTGAATTTGATAAGCAAGGGGTCAGTGAAGGAAACTCTAAATTGGAAAATTTGAGGATATTAAAGAATATTTTTAGATTTCCAATTAATAGTGTGGATGTGTTATCAAGGAGGTGCCCTAATCTCCAACAACTTCACATCGGCTTTGGGGACGATAATTATTCTGCAGAGTCTTTTTGTCTCACATTGAAGAATCTTAGCCAGCTTCAAAAACTTCGCCTTACCTCTAAGTGGCGCCGCACTGTATCTGGGTTACAATTGCCTTCAAATTTAAAGATGTTGGTACTAAGTGGGACTGATATAGGAAACCTTATTGCGGGACTACAAAGCCTGGAGTATCTCCAATTACAAGATGTGTATTTTCCTCCTTCAGAAGAGTGGTGCCTTGGAGATATCACGTTCCCTAAACTTAAGGTCTTGAAACTGGCGGCGTCACATATTTTGAGGTGGGATATCTCAGAGGAATCTTTTCCCCTGCTTGAAACACTTGTTATAAGAGGGTGTAAGAATCTCGAGGAGATCCCCCTTAGCTTTGCAGATATTCCAACACTGAAACAGATTAAGTTGATTCGCTGCAATAAATTTCTGGAGGATTCAGCTGAGAGGATTAAGAAAGATGTTGAAGAGAATGAAGGAAACGACCGTATTGACCTCATTATCAAAGTAAGTAGAAACAAACTCGCATGTTCTGTTTTTGAGTATCTACCTGCATCTAACTTGACACCTATATGTATAATACAGTATTATTAGGGTCAGTTGGCAGCTGTGAATCAATTATGTGCCTTTAATCACAACAATGGTAAATATTGTTTCTATTTTTTTCTTGTTCCTCCTTCTAATTTAATGTTTGCTTTCGCTTAATTGCTTCATGTTGATCTCAAACTAATGAGGATGTATTTCAATTTGATAATTGCAGCAAAAGTACAGCCAATTGTTGCAGCCATGCTCATGCTCAAGTATATTGTGCGCCTAGTGCCGACATCCCTGTCCTTTTTCTGTATGTTTTAGATGATCTTTCACTGTGATTTCTTGTTGCCTTTATAAACATCATGCCTTTGTTATGCAGCTTTATTATTTTACAACCTGTCAAAACATTGCTTCTTGTTTGTTTTTGTAATATAGTAGTTGTTTCCTTTCATCTTACTCCTATACAAGGTGAATTGAAAGATGAGTATTCCTGAATAAAAGCTGTTTTGATAGCTTAGTACTAAATAGTTTAGGAGCAATCCATAACATACGTCTCACTTCATAAATAAGTATTGAGTACATGTACAAACGCTATCTATGTTGTTTGGACTCTTCAAACTGTCTTCCGAGTGTATATTGGATTTTCCATTTTACATTTTTGGAGAATCCGACATGGGCGCAATAATATCTTTGGAGAGTTTGAGCATCATAAGAAGCCAAACAGATAACACTTGTCAAACCCCTATTCAGCTTTCTAGGGAGGACAATGGCAGAGTCTCCCAAGTTGACGACATGTATACATGTCTCTCACCTTTGACAACTTCACCAGAGGTACACGATTCGAGTTCTTTCTTGTCTTCCGTTGTCAATTTTACAGATAAGGCTCCTATCTTTTTGTTGATGTTTTCAATCTTCGTAGTGCCTTGTATAGGGCATACATCATCTCCTTGATGAAGAACCCATGCCAATGCTAATTGATTTTCTCAAATACTTGCTTTATGCTCAAAATTCTCTGGCTTGAACCTAGGGAAATTCTACAAAGCAAATCAGCAAAATAATAAATCAATGTTGCAGTCGAAATAGAAAGAGTCATTGATGAAACCATTACATAGTAGAATTTCTAGATTTCAAGAAGACTTAAGATAAGGACATCCAGTTGATGCTCTCTGTAAAACATCAATGCACAAAGAAATAACAGGATACTAAATTCAAATGCAACTACAAACATCCAGTTGATACTCACTGCAAATTCGTATAAATGTCTATTAAACAGGAAACACAAAAACAGTCACAGTTTTGATTTATGTGGTCTAACCTTGCAAAAGTCACCATCAGGCAAGATTTCAATCAACTTTGCCTCTGCTGAGATGAATCCTCGTCCGAGAGGACAATAGGGGACAATCCCTATGCCAAGGTCAAAAAAATCAAAAACTGCTAATCTTGAACTCAAATCTAAAATAAAAAATGTAGAAAGGAAAATACTTCTAATTATTTAGATACAAAAATTCCGTACTTTCTTTTAACAAACACAGTGTCCCAGCTAGCTTGCACGAATCTCAACCATTCCAAGGGGTACCTGCAATCTCCCACTGGCTACCTGCACAGGTACCCGCAACTCTATCCACCAAAACTTAGATAGCTAGGAAGACATCACCTAATTTATGCATTTACTACCATTTGAACCTGAAACCTCATGGTTCTCGACCCCTATCATCCACAACTAGCCAAATACATATCACTCGTCAAACCCCTACTCAGCTTTCCAGAAGGACAATGGTGACGCGCATCTCTGAATTTATCCAACAAAATAAGATTTACCAGTGTCAATTATAAGACTCTAAATAAGTAGAACTGATTTATTTGCAGTAAGAACGACAATGTGATTAATAAACGACAATGTGAAAGTTCAGGTAGTCAATTAATTAGTTTTCTCTGTAGCCAACTGTCCTCTCCTTCCACACACTTTGATTAATCATTAATAATAGATACTAACCTTCGAATTAATTAGTTGTCTCTCTGTAGTATATCATAAGCCATGTTATTTCATTAAATAATGCAGCCATTGACTTTGAAAGCCAATGGGAATGCATATTAACCTGTCTAAAAATTAATATGATAAACCCAAAAATTATTCATTAAATAATACAACCATTGACTTTTTTGTAGGATTTAGATCCAGTCCTTTGGCTAAACCATAATTATACATCCACTAATCTTGTTAGAGTATATGACACAAACATTTCCTCATTGTTCCAAGTTAATTATGCTCATATTAATCTTTTCTTGTTAGCTTAATCCTACTCCAATCTTTATCAGGTATTTTTCAATAAACATTTTTCTAATCTCCCTATGAATTTTTATCCTTTCTTATATATAAGTTATCAACAACTCTTTTTCTATGATTGGATCAGAACTTGGAGATACAAAAAGGCAAACGAAGATCGATCGATCGACTACTCGTCACACTTGAAATTTGTAAGATATATTGAATGTTAACTTTCTATTGCTCTCCAAAATCTCGAACTTCTTAAATTGATACAACAACTGAGTTATTAATCCATTTTACCAATAAACTTCATGGTTCCAAAACTACAAATATTGTGAATATGGTTTTGATGTATATTAATGTAGACATTTATGATTATCTTGTATGAAACAATATGGCACTTCAAAACACTTGTGTCTTTATTCCTTATATGGTTTAGATAATTAAAAAATGATATCACACATAATAATTAGTTTTTGCTCCGTTGAACCAGTTAAAGAAGTGTTTTATATTTGTTTTCCTCTTTAAATTTCTATTTTAAAAAAAAAGTGATCAACAGCAGATGGCTGGTTATATGTTTTATAGATACAAATTGGGGGTAGGGATTTGAACTTAAGGTGAAAATTATGATATCCAACCAATTGAGCGACTAATCGTGCTATCCTTCCCCACACACATTTTTTTATTAATCATTGGGTATGCATTAGTTGTTTCTCTGTACAAGTAATTAATAGGGAAAAATTAGCTAAAATATGTCATCCAACTTGGAGAAAAAACAAACCTCATTTATGTCGTCCATTAATAGTTGGGTTCAATCATGCCTTTGTCATTACATAAATGACCCATTATGCCATTATTTTTTAATATTCAGATTTTGTGGTTTTGCAACACCATTTTTCCATATGGCCTCTTATTAGAGGTCCACGTCACCAAAATTAAACTGGTCAAAAAAAAATTCAAATATGTCATGGAACTGTGACAAACGGTTCTATGTCATTCGTTAATAGTTGGATCCAACCATATCACAGCCATTAAATTTGAAATTAAAATCCAACCCATTAATACCAGACCCGACCCACCCTAACCCATTTCCCTTTTATTTCTCCTACAAACGCTTGGATCCAAAATTTCTCCCATTTTAATGATGAATTTATATGTCAGTTTCTTGTCAATTGATCAATTTAAGGGTCTGGGGAGAAATAAAAAGAGAAATAGGTTAGGGTGGGTCGAGTGTTAATTTATGGACCAGGTTTTAATTTCAAATTTAATTAAACTAGGTTGGTTTATTTTGGCACGTGGACCTCTAATAAGAGGCCACGTGAAAAAAATAATTTTGCGAAATGATCAAACCTGACCATTTAAAAGTAGCATGAATGGGTTCCTTCTGCAACGACAATGGAATAGTTGAGCCCAATTATTAACAGATTGCATAAATAGACCTTTTTTCAAAGTTTGATGGTGCATTTAAACTTTTTTTATTAGTTTAATTTTGGTGATGTTGACCTCTAATAAGAGACCACGTGGAAAGAACGATTTTGCTAACCATCAAACCAGCTGCCTGTTAAAAAATAATGGCACGAATGGACCGTTCATGTAAAGCAGTGGCATGATTGAGCGCAACTATTAAAGGGAGGCATAAAAAAGTATTTTCCCAAAGTTTGATGGCAAATTTTAACTTCTTTCTTAGCTAATTATTGCAGCCATGCTCAAGCTGAACTATATTGTGCAGCTAGAGACGAAATACCCCTCCATTCTCTGTATTATAGAAATATAAATCAGATGGTCTTTCACTTTGATTTCTCCTTGTAAAATCATGCCTTTGTTATGCAGCTTTATTATTTTACAACCTGTCAATACATTGCTTCTTGTTTGTTTTGTGTAATATTCTAGTTGTTTTCCTTCATCTTACTCCTGTGAAATTCGAAAGCTGGTTGAATAAAAGTATACCAAAGCTATATATGTTGTTCAGACTCTTCAAAAATGTTGCCAAATGTATATTGGATTTTCCATAGTGCATGTTTTGAGGATCCGATACGTGTGCAACAATAGTCAAATAAGAAGCCAAATAGATATCACCTGTCAAACCCCTAATTCAGCTTTCTAGGGAGGACAATGGCGGAGTCTCTGAATTTATCCAAGTTGACGACATGTATACATGTCTCTCACCTTTGACAACATCACCAGAGGTATACGATTCGAGTTATTTCATGTCTTCCACCGTCAATTTTACAGATAAGGCTCCTATGTTTTCGCTGAAGTTTTCAATCTTCGTAGTGCCTACTGCCTGCCTGGTATAGGGCATACATCATCTCCTTGATGAAGAACCCATGCCAATGCTAATTGTGAAGGAGTGCATCCTTTCCTTGCAGCCATTAGATTGATTTTCTCAAATACTTGCTCAAAAATTCTCTGGCTTGAACCTAGGGAAATTCTACAAAGCAAACCAGCAAAATAATAAATTAATGTTGCAATTCAAATACAAAGATTCATTGACGCAACCATTAAACTAGCTATATATTTCACGGAGAGAAAAGGCTGTGCCAAAATGTTTATCTTGATAGATTGTGCGATAAATCAGTCACCTGATGCAACTCAAGAAATGTTAAACGAAAGGGCGAGTTGGAAGTTTAGGAGAATTTTTCCTGAACCTGGAATAATAACTGCAATTATAACTATTCCTCAATCACAAATAAGTTGGAATTGACTATATGAAATTTTGACTTCTCCACTTAAGTTCAACTCACGTCATCATCATACCAGATAAAATAAAAGAAAAAAATAAGTTAAATATATAAAACAATATTAGTTGTTCTTAAAAAGGACTAAATCCTACTCTTCACGGCTAGAGTTTACCTATATATGGTTCTTTCTATTCTATTGTGCCACATGTTTTGCTAAGTATGCATTATCCTTAGAAATTTGTAAGTATTTCAAGATGCTATCTCGTCCCCTTTTCAGCACCTCCACTCGCCATAGTTTCACACCTACAAACCGGTGCATCTGTAGGTCAACACAAGACAGGTCAAAACATCTCAAGCATACTTCTCTTAGTTCGTTCTCAATGCTACTTGCTCTTCTAGCGAATACAGATCATTTTTAATTTTATTTAATACTAGTAAAATTACCCGCGCTTCGCGCGGGAATTTAATATCACGGAATATATAAAATAATACTTAAAACCTGTCAGTCACTAAAACTAAAACACTATATTATCTTACATAAAAGATTAATAATGTAAAGGAAAATGAAAATTATTACATCTTATCATTTATCCTTAATAACATAAACATAAATTAATTATTGTAAAAATACATATCAGGATTTGTAACATAAGCAATGGTGTCACTGAGCCACTCAACATGAGTAAAGTACACAAATATTTAATTGTGAAGAAGGAGGAGGAGGAGGAGAGAAGAGGAGGAAGAAGAGGAAGAAGAAGAGGGTCAAAATTTTTGTTGTTTTAAAATGAGAGGAAATCCTTCTATTTATAGACAATAAATGGTAGTGTGAACAAACATTTGTTGTGCCTTATCCGAAAGGTTACAACTATTTGAAAAAGTTGCAACCCTTCAGAAAGGTCACAACCTTTCATAAAAGTCGCAACTTTTCATAAAAGTCAAAACTTTTCATAAAAGTCG